TTTCAGGCATTAGCAGCCGATCGGCGATCTCCGGCACATGCGCAGATACGTCGAGGGGGACAGATAATCCTGACAGTATCACGCTCCGCGGGCCGGATTAAAAGGTCCGCCGGGCCGTATACGGCCCGCGGGCCGTAGTTTGCCCATTGCTGTTCTAATGATTGGTCTATTTGTGAGCCGAGGCCACATGTTACGGATGAAATTGCAATTTTTCCCACGGCACACCAGACAATATCTCACGGCACACTAGTGTGCCGCGGCACAGTGGTTGAAAAACGCTGGGTTATACAATCTGTCACACATGGGCAATACCTTTTTGTTTGCCACACAGTTCAGATATTCATTATTTGCATCTTTTGGCCCAGTGGCACACAATGCACTTCTCTATAGGTATTGTTATAAACCACTTGCATATGTCTGAATTTTAAGGGAAGTAGATCTATTGCTATTAAAAACACAATGATAAACATGTTGCTTAAATTGCACCCTCAAGGGTCCAGCACAGAGTTCTTTTGCATAGACAGTAACAGAACAGTCATTCAGTTTAACGACCTGTCACCAACTGAGGTGACAGAGGAGAACCTATAAAAGTCCGTATTTGTTGCATACCAGGGCTGACATGTTTTTAAGTGTTAAAACCACAACAGGCTGTATATGCAGTAAAGCATGCTTGTTATATTCATTGTGGAACCTAAGGGGTTAATCCTCTGCATTGTGTAAAAAGGCTGTTTGATCCTTTCTGCTCTGTCCCTCCTCTTGTTGAAATGACCACTTGATACAGACTGAACCCATGGTCACATGTACATGCTCAGTTTGGTGTGTATTGCTAGCGAGGTTTTTTTTTTTTTTTTTTTTTCTTGGGAGGGTGCATGTGATCAGCACAGGGCCAATCAGCTTTGTCCACACAGAGGATCAGGGGTTTCACATCCTCCTAGAGCAGAAAGAAAACTCCTTCTACTAGCTTTAACCAGTGCTCTGCTGAAGTCACAAGACTGCTCTAACTGCTGATGAGAAAAGGTATTTAGCAGTTTATATTTACTAAACTAATTGCATTTTCATGTTGTGTGTACTGTGGGAGACCAAATATAGTGAATATAGCATCCTCGGTTTAGTATCTATCTAAGTGGAGGCATTACTTTTCATTCACCCTTCATTGGCAATAAACACAAACTATTTTGTAGCTCTAGATTGGTCATGCACATTGGTTAGGAGGTGTTTTGACGCATTCAGAACAATTTTAGTTCACATATAATTTGTGAAAATATCAATTAAAGTTACTGCTTCAGACCATGACACCAAATTTTGGAAGTGTTGGAACGCTAACATGGCCATTCTACTGTTTCTTGTATTTATTCAAGCATAAATAAAAAAAAAAAAAAAAAATATATATATATTATATATATATATATATATATATATATATATATATACACACACACACACACACAACAATCATCCATCCTCATCCTTTTTTTTTTTTATAATCCCTAAGATCCTTACACTTTGCTGTAGAATTTCCTGATTAACTTGAATGATAACGTTTTGGTGTTGGTATGCAGGGTTTTGTTTTTTTTCCTAATGTGGAAATATGCATGCATCATACATACTAGGGGGAGTCAATGGTGGAGAAGAATCTGGGAGTTCTGGTAGATCATAAAGCTTAATAATGGCATGCAATGCCAAGCTGCAGTTTCTAAAGCGAGCAAAATCCTCTGTTGTATTAAAAGAGGTATAGGCTCCAGAGAGAGATATCATATTACCCCTGTACATATCATTAGTAAGACCTCATCTGGAATATGCAGTTCAATTTTGAGCACCAATTCACAAAAAGAACATTGGGGAACTGGAGAACGTACAGAGAAGGGCAACCAAACTGATAATAGGCATGGAAGAGCTCAGCTATGAGGAAAGATTAGAGGAACTGAATTTATTCTCTCTTGAGAAGAGGAGATTAAGGGGGGATATTATCAACATGTATAAATACATCAGTGGTTCATATAGTGAACCCGGGGTAGAGTTATTCACCCTGAGGTCATCACAGAGGGCAAGGAGGCACTCTTACATCTGGAGGAAAATAAATGTAATCTCCAAACATGGAAAAGTTTCTTCACAGTGAAAGCTGTGAAAATGTGGAATAGACTCCCTCCAGAGTTGGTTCTGGCCCGCTCAGTGGATTGCTTTAAAAAAGACCTGATTTCTTTCTTGGATACACAGAATATAACTGATTACTATTTATAGGCAAAGTTGATCCAGGGAATATCCAATTGCCTTTCTGGGGATCAGGCAGGAGCAAATTGGATCATGCTTTGCTGGGTTTTTTTTTGCCTTCCTCTGGATCAAATGTGGGTGTAGGATTAACTTTTTTTTTTTTTGTATGGTTGAAATGGATGGACTTGTCTTTTTTCAGCCAGACTAACTATGTAACTATAGACATTGGCCACATTTTGTCTCTCAGGGCCACAGAACATTGTTTCAGTAGTACTGTAGTACCTTCAGGAGATCAGACAAGCAGTGCTATGAGCCATACCCTATTTAGCATAAACCTTGACCTTGCTAATGCTCTCAGAATTCAACAACTGTACTTTTACATATTGTGGAATTTGTTTAACTGGGTTATTAATAACTAATAATTTGCTTCTTACTATTACTAATTACTACTAAAATAATTTAAGTGGACCTGAGTGTGAAGGGAGAGTGTGTGAAGGGATAATAGGAATTAAACATGCCTGTCAATTAAGCAGGTCCCATGACTGTACATTTCTCGGTGACTTGATCTGAAGACAAGGCAACAATGCACTGGTGTGCTGACTTCACCAGATTCTTGCTCTAATATAAAGGAAGATAGCTGATATTAGTGATATTAAATATGGTGACCATAATGAGCTGTTAGAGGAGGACTGTTTTTCTTTAGATCATGTGATTTGGAACCACGAGACCTACTTAATACAATAATGTAGGTAAGTATGCTTTTAATAGAATTTAATGCTCCTATCTAGTGCAGCTGGCTCAAATATCACTCAGCGAGGGAGAACTAACCATTTACATACAAAAAAACCCTCTGTGCCTTGAACAGATAATTGGGTTTCTGTTGCTAGTCTTTCTTCAGAAATGTTTTTAGCAAGATTTGTGGCACTGCATCAGTTTCTTCTCTTACCCTATACCACCTGAAGCAGTCAGAAAGTTGAGTTGATAAACGTGACAGAGCTTTAGCGAGTTTGTACTTGTGCACTTATGTCTCTGAATGACTACAAAGTCCTCAAGGTATTCAATAATACTTTTATAGTCTATCCTGCAGTGGTTTTATTTTTTACAAATGTGCCAGTTAATAGTCTGTTAAAGATGTACAAACATCTGTTAGTATTTTTATACAGAAGTACAGTTCACTTGCATCCCTAAAAAGCTGGATTCTTGGGTTATACAGTATGTGGTTCATTAGGTAGGCACATACTTGGCAATATTTACATTTTTCCACCACATTCTAGTGAAGTGATGAAATGCCTTAACATGTTTTTTTCCAAATAAGCAATATGAATTTCTTAAAATGCCTGAAGTAGCTAGGAAACCACACCCTAGGAGGAGGATCTCTATCCATCTGTCTTCTTTCAACAAGGTATTACAGGAATTAGGATTATTAGATATATATCACTTAATACATCCTAGAGAGAAATAAAATATTCTTGCTCCTTTAAATGTCATGCAAATTTGACTATAGTAGATTTAGCAGTTGGTTCCCCAATATTATACCATTCAGACTGTCAGGGATCCTGTCGCCGTTCAGCCATGCGACGGCGACGGATCCCCTCGGGCCATGGCGGTGCGAGTGTGCAGGCGCAGAAGCGTGCAGGCGCGCATGCACACTAGTACGGAAAACTCGCCCATGCGCAGTAAGTGTACACGTCACGCCAGGTGGGCTATTTAAACCTGCAGAACAGTAAAGTCAATGCCTTCTGGTCTATAACGTTTCTGCATATATTCCTGATCCTGTTACCTGTATTCTGATTTGCCTGACTAAGAAAGAACTCCGCCTGCACCGACCTCGGCTATCCCTGACCATCCGCTTGCCTGCTCCCTTGTACTTTATCTGCACGCTTGATACTGACCCGGCTTGTCTGACTCTGCTGCATCTACCTGCACCTGTACCTGGCTCACGTCCTGACAGCTACCATATTTACCTGCCACTGCACCCACGGTCCTGCACCTGGCCTGCATCCTGGTCACCGCCATACCTGCCTGCTACTGCAGCCACGCTCCAGTGTCTGGTTGCAGTCTGCATCCTGATTGCTGCCATACCTGCCTGCTGCTGCACCTACGTTCCTGCACCCACACCTGGCCTACATCTGGATCTCCTGGGTCCCCAGCTACCTGTCGCCAGCTCCAGATCCACCCAGCACTTGTGCCACTCCTGGCTCTGTGCCCACTGTTCCCACTATCCGGGGCTCCAAGCAGGAGTTGTAAGAGGACGCCCTCTCTCCACGTCAGGCTCCCCCCAACCAGGTACGTGACACAGACATAGGATTGAATATATGGCTAAGGTATTTTCAGAGCAAATTTCAGTTCAAATACAAAGGAATGGGAGATGAATCTGATAGTACATGAGAAGATGAAAATATTAATAATTCCATTTATCACTCCATTATTTCTTTTAAAGGATTGGTGAAAGAAAGATCTAGCAAAAAATTTTGTTGAAGGTATGTTTTTTTTTTTTCTACGCAGCATTACTTTGAGAGAGATGGTCATTTATTAATAGTTATAACATACCGTGGGCTCAGTAACCATCAGCATACCCCCTTCCTGCCCAGGCCAATTTTCAGCTTTCAGTGCTGTCGCACTTTTGAATGACAATTGCATGGTCATGCAACACTGTACCCATCTGAAATTTGTATCATTTTTTTGAGACACAGCTTTTGGTGGTATTTAATCACCTCTGGGTTTTTTATTTTTGCTAAACAAACCAAAAACAAAATTTTTGAAAAAAAAATGTTTTTCTTTTCTAGTTTGTGTTATAAAATTTTGTAAATAAATAATTTTTCTCCTTTACTGATGTGTGCTAATGAAGCTGCAGTGATGGGCACTGCTAGGCTGCACTGATGGGCACTGATGAGGAGGCACTGGTAGGTGGCACTGATGAGCATTGACAGGCATCACTGAGCACTGAAAGGCAGCACTGACTGGCACTGATAGGTGGCACTGATTGGCAGCACTGATAGGTGGCACTGACTGGCACTGATAAGTGACACTGAAAGGCAGTTCAGATGGGCACTGATATGTGGCATTGATGTGCACTGGTAGGCACTGATGTGGCATTGATGAGGAACTGATGGGCACTGGCAAGTGGCATTGATTGACACTGACAGGTGGCACTGCTGGGGCTACACTGATCATCAGGGCACACTGATCATCAGTGTACATGTCCCCTCCGAGGAATGCCGATTACTGGCTCTCCTCTAGTCTCCTCACGAGCTGTCAGCGTGACAGCTCGTGAGAATAGAAAAATGCCGATAACCGGCATTTCCCTATTTACATGCGGTCAGCTGTGAATGGATACAGCTGATCACGTGACCGAGCCAACATCTTTGGCCCTTTCCATTGATCGGTGATCCGCTGTGTCCGAGGGACACAGTGCACCACCGATCGCCGTGCTGCGTGCTCCCGGAGCCACGCACTCGCGGTTAGAGTGGGAGGCTTCATATGACGTCCTCCCAGAACGAGAGAACCACCTTGTGCCTGTCATTTCGTTATATGGCGGGCGGGAGGTGGTTAAAGATAGATGTCAGAAGGAAATTAATACATGATCTATTCTACAAAAGCTCAGGTGTGGAGCCGAAAAAAAAATGTATTTATTTATTCTTGCGATGTGGGATGTAGTTCCTGCCAAACGTCTGCCAAACTATAGGTTTGCAGCGTATCACGTAATTTAGATTCCTGGGTAAGGTCGTGGCTAGGAGTCACTCCAGTAGGGTAGCAGCGATTGACAGAGCAATTAAGAGCAACATTCGAATCACCCATCAATAGAAGAATACCACGTTGATGGTGCGAGATCACTTTTATCAAATGAGAAAAGAATTTGTATTGAAATCTCTTTGGCATGTAATAGCCCACCAGGGTCACTTCCGGGTCCCAAAGGGTACCCCATAGGAGCAGACACCTGCCTATGGGATCAGCTATTTCCAGGTTGCAAGTAAACATTAGATTCCCCTATGCTTCTCAGGGGCTGAAGTAGAGAAAAAGGTTGGATAATGGTGAGAGAGCATGGCGCAGAGGATTGGGAAAATGTTGTCTTCTGCAGACAGACTACGTCCACGTCTTGGGACTTGAGATGATGGAACACTTTAGAACGTTTGGTTGGAGAGTTAAAACCATGAATATTTTGAGAGAAAATCTTTAAGTGTTTTAACACCATACTGAGTCAGGGGAGTTCAGCTGCCAAGATACGCTAAGAATGACCGTCCAATCCTTAAAGGCATCCTTGCCCCGGGCGGCCCCAGATCAGTTAAAGAAGAGAAAAAAAAAACAAAAAAAGAAACAGAAGAAAAAAGCGTACACTCTAAGGTAGTGTAATAAAACCACAGTCAATGGAAATTGCATCCTAACTTCAAGGATATTCATAGGGGGATAGCTCTACCAATGGACACATGGGTGTGTCATAGACAGCATAAAAAGAATCATTATGGAGAGGGGGATGAAAGGGGCAGGGGGGGGGGGGGAACTTAGACAGGCAAATAGTCAATTTCAAATCTAACACCACAAGTAATGCATGACATAACCGTTCAATATTCAAAGAAAATGTAATAATGAACACAGACATATAAATGTAACATAAGAGGAGGCACTCCTGGGTCGCGGTCCCGATAGATTGGAAGCCAACACCAACCACATAAGGCACAGGACCTTGAGCCAGGAAAGCCCCTGGCGTACAGTAAAAGGGCACATTATCCTCCCCACAAAAAAAAAAGGGGGGGGGGTTAAGAAAAATCGGGAATGCAACACAAAAAAAAACTTCCATAAATACAACAGGTACCAGAAAGTTCAAGACAGCAACCGCAATAGTTTTCATGGGGTGCAGCAGTCCAATGTCAAAAATCAAGGAACTGGCGGGCACCGGGGATCCCTGTAAATAGAGTCCAGTATTGCAATGAAAATTGTTTGAAACAAAACAAGGGGACCAAAGGGGGAAGATACGGAGACCTTCAAACATTTTGCCTACCAAGAGACAATCAAACCTGAGAGCCCTCAAGTTCCTATTAGAGGAAGTAATTCAAATCCGGAGAGCAGGGAGCCAACGGGGGCTGAGGATCACCACCAGTACAATCCAGTATTGCATAGAAGAACATTTCAAACTGCGAAAAATAGGAACATGCAATATACAGATAGTTTGCCCAACAAGGGCCAGTCAAGGCCTCCATCTCACCAGGAATGCGGAGAGTCATTGCATTGGACCAAGCCACCTAAGAGAAAAACCTGTATCGAAGCGGGAGGATGCGGACAGCGGAGGGGTACTAGAGAGGGAACATTTACGGCTTCCAACTTTCTCCCACATGCGCCCCAGCTGAGATGAAGGAGGGTGCGAGCCGGAGGATTCTCCGGACTGTCGGAGTTATCCCACAAGGGCAGAAGGTGCAGTGGCTCCAGGGTCGACTTGGCCTCCTCTGGATTATGCATAACATGGCTCCGGCCTTGGCAAGCGGACGTAAGCTTAAATGGAAAGCCCCATAGGTACCTGATGTGACAGTTCAAGACGACTGATGTGAAGGGTTTCCTCTGTCGACGTTTCTGTATGGTGGATGGTTCCAGATCCGCAAACAGCTGGTATGGAGGACTCTGGAAGCAAAGATCCTGTTTGTCTCATGCAGAGTGTAGGAACGAGTCTTTCATATGGTAATAAGTGAACTTAATTATGATTTCCATGGGGGGACCCTCAGACCTCCTCGGACCCAGGCCCCGATGAATGTGATCGAACTCCAGGCGGTCCATTGGTATCGCTGGTTCCAATTCTTGAAATGGCACGGTAGCAGTGGACGTCAGGTCAACGATGGTTTCGGGCAGGCCATGCAGGCGAAGATTAACCTGATGGGACCTATTCTCAAAGTCCTCCAGATGTAGGAGAGCCACATCAAGCTCCTTTTTCAGATATGAAAGGTCCTGCTCATGGTTGTCTATCATCGTGACCGCAGCGTCCATCTTTTCTTCAAGAGCATTCGTGCGACTTCCCAAATCTCAAATCTCCTTAGTGAAATGAGTGGCCAATCTGGAGGTGGCTGTAGTAAGTTCCTGCTGCAGCATGGTCTTGAACCTGGCCAGGAGGTCTGCGTCCCACAAGGAAGGCTGTGGGGGGTCTGGAGGGATGTCAGGCAGGCTCACCAGTTCAGAGTTAACATCCGGGTCGTGCGGTGGAGAATCCAGCAAAATCTAGGCCGGGGCTTCTGGCGGGAGTGTTGGTGTGTAGGTGGTAGGACTGGAGGGGTCCAGTTTATCTGGTGCTGGAGGCCACCGACTTCTTCCCCATGTGCGGTGAGGGGGAGGGGTCAGCAGAGGATTAGGGAAGCGGTGGAGAGTAGAAAGGACTCTCCGGGAGGCAGAGTGATCGCGGATGTTCCTGGTGGTGAAGGAGTGCGATCACCGAGCGGCCGTCTACTAGCACTGCTCACGAGCCCCTCCAAGCTCCGTTTTCTAGCAGTTTCTATGTAGAAGACAGAACCAATGGCTATATTGCAACCAGTTAAGGATGAAATGCATCCAGATTCATACTGCTTAATATTCTTGCTTACAGTAGATATTAATAGCTAAAATGTTAGAAAATTGCTTGGTTGTGGTAATACATAACATATACAAATCACTCTGAATAATAAAGGAATTGGAGTGATATTATATCCAAGTGCATTATATCCTTGTATAAGAATCAGAATGAGGTGCAGTTCACACTTACCGACTCCAAAGTTGCGCAATTTTCAGTGCAGCTTTGGAGTCCGACTTTGATACAACTGTGAAGTAACTTTGACACAACCTCTGGTAGTGAAGTTATATCAAATTCAGATAAAAGTGCATTAACCTTTTCTGAAGTCGCAGCAACTTCAGTAGTGTCAGTTGGAACAGCTATTATAGAGATACATGACATTTCATATGTCCTCTGACTTTAGGCCTCATAAGTCGGATCCTAAAGCCGGCCATACACTGGTCGATTCCGAAAGAAGTTTCTTTTTAAAATATTTTCCAAGAATTTTCATTTGAATTTTGCACCATTAGTGGGCCACATCAAGAACCGATTTTTGAGCGACCATCGAATTTGAGAGATAGGGCATGTTGGAATTTAAAAAAAAAAATGAACAAATTTCTAATCAATGATGGAAGAATCGTGCAAGAAATGTAATTGAAAAAAGAAATGAGCATGAGTTGTGACCTGGAAAGAAAAGAAAATTCTTGGCCACGAAAATTCTTTTCTGTAGCAACATGAGGTGAAAATAAAGGCTTGGTTGGTCGAATTTTGAAATGAATTGTGGCACCATAGGGATCTAAAGAAAATTTGTTGAGATTTCGACCTATGTATGGTCTACATAATGAGTGTGAACCAAGCCTAAATAATTTCTTGTTTTTCAAACAAAAATGTAACACTTTTTTTTTTCTCCATTTTTATATGCGTTAACTCTTGAACAATTGGCAGTGATGTTCAGACATGATGTTTTTCAGACATCAGATATGATGCTTTTCTATTTTAAGGTGAATACAATTTGGCTCTTTAGAAAAGTCTGACTACAATTTCTACTTTGGTCACTTTTCAGGATTATCAATTAACTGGATTAAGATTGGGACCTACTGATGACCTAAAATCCATTTATCCAATTATATAGAGGTGGTTACATCTTTTAAATATGGGTTTGACCATTTTTATCAGTCCTAAAATGGACAGTTCATTAAATGTGGCTCTCCATTTATGGTCAAATTTTGGGTTCAGTGTAAGTCGTGGTGTAAATTTATATGCAAGTATAGCGGTTATATATAACTTTGTGAAGTTGATTTCAGTGTTTCATTTTTTATTTTGTGCGGTCATAATTTCAGTAATGTGATTCCAAAGGATACCTTTACAATAATTAAGAGTATTTTTAGAGATCTTATATGGAGGGGAAACTCCGATTTATTATTATTATTATTATTATTATTATTATTATTATTATATATACGAAAACTTCAGTATTTAATTGATGAGGGAGTTGTGGCTACCCTTACTCCATGGATATATTAGCCAGGTGCAATATTTTGCAGATTGGGGCAAGGTGATCTACCCTCTTTATCAGTTAAAGTCTTACAAAACCCACAACAGTAAAAATTCATCTGTATATGAAGTCAAACATGCTTTTAGAACCTAAGGGGTTAACACTCTGCATTG